CGATATTTCGGGAACGGTGTTACGACGATAGAGTACAATCGCTCGTCCTATCAGACGTACGATCAGAACTGCTGCGGATAGATGTGTCTGCGGTTTCTACGAACGGTCGATACACGTGAATTTAAATAGCTCGACGAGGTGCCATGAAATCTCAGTATTCGTGCAACGCTTTTCCGTCATGTCGCTGACGCTGAGCGGGAAGAGCAGCGTTCTCGCAGCAAACTATTTTCCCACCATAGATTTGAGCGATGATGTTTACGAGCTCGGTCTAATGATTTTTGAGACTTATCACACGATACCGAATGTGAACGAATCGAACAATAAATTTCATTTCGGTAAAGACGACGCGGAAATTATAATTCCCGAGGGTTCGTACGAAGTGCGAGACATAAATGAATTTTTGAAACGTGCGATTTTACGGAAACGTTCGCGTCGCGACGCGCTTGATACCGTTGATGTAGTGCGTGGTGATGCGGTGCACAGCGACAACAACAACAACGACGGTGACGACGAGAGTGGAGAATACCCGATAACGCTCCGCGCAAACTACAACATGATGAGATGCGAGATTAGATGCGCCTACATAATAAACTTTAGCAAGCCCAATAGCATTGGATCACTGCTGGGATTCTCGTCGAAGCATATACTGCGACCGCGAAGATGGCACGAATCTGACGTGTCGGTCAACATAATGAACGTAAACGTTATCTGCGTAGAGTGTAACGTGACCGCGGGCGCGTAATTGTAAAATTTACAGCAATTGTAAAAGTGTGCACACGATACACGAATTTTCACCGAACGTGTCACCGGAATATAAGATATCGGAAAGGCCGGCGCAGATCATTTATCTGTCGATCATCACACGGAGCATTACGGATCTAACGATACGCGTCGTCGACCAGAACGGACGATTGCTCAATTTTCAAGGAGAAGAGTTCACCGTCAGATTGCACGTGCGGCGACGATAACGCGAGCGTGAGATACTCGTACTGAACGAAACAGAGCGCACGCAGAGAGATAACACATTCTTAACAAGACCGGTGACGTCGCAGCTCGATAACACTCGCTCATCCAACTGCATCAGGAAGAAACTCAACGCGTCGAACGTTAAATTTTTAAAGTCTTTGGGATTTGCGGTGCGCAACTTTTGTGATGACTAATATCCTAAACGTCAAGGACAATCTGATCTTCGACGATCACATCGTCAAGATCGAGACTCACACGTACAACCCGTTCGCCAACACGTTCGGGCACAGCGACGAGATAAGGATACCCATACAGCAACAGGATCTGTACACATTGCCGTACGGAAGCTTTCTATACGTCGAGGGAAAACTGACGAAGAACAGAGTGGTCGAGGGTGCTAATGTGACTATACAACAATATGGAAAATAAAGATTCTAAATGAGCTGGATTGAATGATTGAGCGTACCGAATTTAATTTTTAGTCTTGAAACACAATCCTTACACAACTACAGTAATATTACAAATTAAGTTGACCAGCAATTTAATACTATAATGAAGATGCAATTTGACTGTTTAAGGTCTTTATTTTCTATTTGTTAATATTCATTTCACACATTTATTTTTCTAACTATGAAGGTGTGTTGCTGACCGATTTGGGGTGGGTAAAGGAACAGCTTGGAGAAGTGTTTAGAAAGTTGTTAATGCACTTTATTCACATATTCACGTTTTTATCAAATGGCCAGATGCAGAAAGAGCTGAAGAAATTTCAACATATATTAAAAACAAATACAAATTTCCCAAAGTAATAGGAGCAATAGATGGTACCCATGTCAAAATTCCAGCACCAAAATTACATGCTGATGCCTACATAAATAGAAAAGGTTATCATTCTATACAAGTACAGGTATTTGTTAAACTGTTAATATTTTAAATATATTGAGTGGGGTGGGACTTGTTTGACTACATTGCAATTTAAGACAATCATTCATATTGATCGTTTAATTGAAAAACTCAAGGCAATGGTCTCTGTGACTGGTTGTTAACTTAAAAATAAAGTAATAATTATTTTTCATTTTCAGTTGATATGTGATCATGAGTTGAAGATTACGCATGTTTATGCAGGACAAGCAGGATCAGTACATGATATGAGAGTATTTCGACTGTCAGGTTTCGAAAACTTATGTACTCCACAAAATTTTCCAGAAAATAGTCACATATTAGGTGATGCCG